TATTATTTCAAGTATCTGGCCTCAATTGATTAAAAAATACCTAGTTTCTTCACTGTTTTTCCATCTTCTTTCCACCATAGTCTCTCTACCTTTGGATGGCCCGCACCTTACTGTGATATCCCAAAGATGTTAATTATACCCCCTAACCTCCGTTCCACCTCCAACCCTTTCAGAGAGGGCTTCCTCTGTCTGCCCGGCAAGTCTCCGATTTTGGGCAGTAGTGTCCGATTTTAGACACTTGTGATCGATTTTAGACACAGTTTCCGATTTTAGGTCCTAGCGTCTGATTTTAGACACGTTCTTAAATTCTCAGACATTTCTCTTCTTCTTCATAAATTTCCTGAAGAATGGCTCATTTTTGACATCCACTCACATCCTCTGAGCCAAGAATTTTGCCAAGAAAAGTCTCTTTTATTATTTTCGTAAATAATGAAACCTCCAGGTCGGTTTACTTTATTTCGGTCAGTGATTGGTCAACTCTCAACCAATCAGAATACAAAACTGAAACCAATCATCCCTTGGTCACCCGCGTTTTCCCGCCTTAAATGCAGTTTGCTTGTTTCCCTTTGACCTCTCATTGGCTCTTTGGGATTTCATTTTGGTCTTGGCTTTGGTTTTGCGACACTCAATCGAAAAGCGTCCTTGACCATTGATCTGAAATTCATCGGATATAATATGGCACACGAACAGTGGCATATCTGCATACTAAAAGTAATTATTTTTAAAGGTTATTTTCACCCTTGATGCAACGCGCGTTGCGACCTAATTTCCTGTAACGCGAAATTCTCAGTTAGGTTACTGAAAACCTTCTAAAATCGTCTTCTCAAGAGCCATCCTGGACATACAGTCAATTTTTTTACGGTAAATATATTCGCCGTTCGTCATTTTATAGTTATCTTGCAGCATTGTGAATTTTGTTAGGTAGAATCCGAAGAAAATATTTTTCAAGTGTCACGCTTGGATCTCTACGTACTGTAGGACAATGTTCGAATTTTTTCACTTTGTAGAGGCGCTTGAGGATCCTAAATAAAGATAAAAAATTTTCCAATTTGGTATTTTTCAAAGAGAAATATGGAGTTATTTGAGGACCGTGTCCGGCCGTGTCAGTGAAACGTTTCTAAGTGTCACGCGCTTGGATGGCTACACGGTTAGCGAAAAACATCAAGTTCGAAATTTTTGGCTGCCTGGAAGTGCTTGAGGATTGTAAATAAAAGTAGAAAGTTTTCGTATAAATATTTTATAGATTTCGAAGAGAAATACGGAAAAATATCAGACTGCCAGACGTTTAGTTATTTTAAGACCGTGTTCGGCGTCAGTGACACTAACAGCTTGCGTTACAATTCTTATTTGCTGCAATGCATGGACAACAACCTCGACCACTCTTTCGAGCACAAGCTTCTCTCTACGGGCAGGAAACTTCAACTGACCCTTGGTCCTATATAACAAGGATGGCAAACTTCAATGAAAAAAATTGATGTATGAATGAAAACGTGGTGGACCAACATTTTCACCTTCCTCGGAATGCTCGCAAGGATTTTCGTGTTCCTCTTCCACAACAACAGACCCGTGAGCGTTTAGTGCCTCGGATTCTACTAAATTAATGGATCCATCTGATTCCATACCGGATTAAAACGTATAGTATTCTTTTAAATAGAATTATTTTGACAAGCTCACCAAACTCATCGGAGAAAACGCAGAAGCTATTT